AATTTTCCTTCCACCTTCGATGTAAGTCATCGCTGGTTTCAAGGACCTAAATTCCTCAGGAAAAGTCCTGATTTATGGCCCAAACAAGTGGACACCATAAATAGCTTAGAAACAGGTGAAGAAAAATCGCCGAAGGGCGTAAATGCGCTGAGAAAGCAAGAACCGTTAAGTCTACCCGACTACGGACGATTTAGCAGCTTTAAGAAATTCCTTGGGGCAACTACACGCACCTTACAAGCGGTAGAAAAGTTCAAGAGTTTAAGAAAGTCGGTTAAAGGACCCGACAGCGCCGCCGAAAAGTCGGTTATGTGTTCCAACAAAGTTTTAGCAAAGTCGGTTAAAGGACCCGATGGCGCGTTGGACATAGCGCTCTTGAAAAAAGCGGAATTGTTAATTTGGAAGTTCGTTCAAGACGAGTGTTTTCATTCGGAAATAAAATGCTTGAAAGCAGGCAAAAGCGTTGAAAGAAGTTCACGCTTAAGTAAATTATCTATGGAAATAGGAGAAGATAACTTACTCCGTTTAAATGGACGTTTACCTTTCAAGTCTAATTTGACCGAGGAAAGTAGAAAACCTGTCGTATTAGACGGTAAACACGAAATCGTTAAAATGATGATTAGAGAAGTTCATCATCATTTTGGACATGCCAATCACCAGACGGTGATGAATGAGGTGAACCAGAAATTTTATGTCTTGAACTTACGTAATGTAGTACGTAGTGTGTCACACCATTGTCAATGGTGCAGGACATACAGGTCAAAGCCGCAGAACGTGCCGCAGGGAAATATTCCTCTGGAGAGAATAGCTCATCATGAACCACCTTTTACATGCTCAGCTGTGGATTATTTCGGTCCTATGAGTGTGACTATAGGAAGGCGACACGAAAAACGTTGGGGTGTTTTATTCACGTGTCTGACCACCAGAGCAGTACATCTGGAATTAGCAGCCTCATTGACACCAGCGTGAATGATAATGGCATTGAGGAGATTTATAGCCAGAAGAGGAAAACCAGCCGTTATATACAGCGATAACGGGACAAATTTCAAAGCTGCGAATAAAGAATTATTGAAAGCATGCGAAGAATGCTATGAGGGCATGAAAAATGAGTCATTTAAGAAATATATTAAATGGAAATTTATACCTCCGGGAGCACCGCACATGGGTGGCGCCTGGGAGAGGTTAGTAAGATCGATTAAAATTGCGTTGACCGCTACGCTCAAAGAAAGGAACCCACGAGAGGAGGTTCTGCATACGCTGCTTTTAGAAGCAGAGCATACGGTAAATTCCAGGCCTCTGGCAACGTTCAATATGGATAGTCCTGAAGAGGGTTTGACACCCAATCATTTTCTTCTGGGACGCTCATGTGGTGATCGACCACCTGGATTATTTTTAGAGCAACATCTGACGGGTCAACTCAATTGGAAAGCTGCACAGAGGTTAGCCGACCATTTTTGGACAAGATGGCTGAAAGAATACATGCCTACTTTAATACCTCGAACGGGTAATAACGGAAAGTTCATGGAACCTAAAGAGGGCGATATTGTTTTGATAATAGATCATTCGTTGCCACGAAATACGTGGCCGAAAGGCAAAATTAGTAGAACGCTACCGGGACCAGACGGTCACAGCAGAGTGGTTGACGTCGTTACTAGCACAGCAGTATCTTGAGGAGACCTACATCCAGAATAATAGTCCTGGTACCCGCGACGCCTCCCAAATGATGGTGCTTACGCACGGGGGGAGATTGTTGGCGACGCGCCTATAAGAATATTTCAGTTTATTAAGTCAACCGATGACGAATAACGTCTCAAAGGCATATTGTCCAATAGCAATGTTCTAATAAGAAAATGCTTAGTTAAATCTTAAAGAAATATCGAATTAATGATATGAAGGTCTTGGGTTCGACTCCCAGGCCGGACTAGTTTACTGTTTTCCTAAGTAATATCTTTCAATAAATTCATATAGGGAATTTTAAGATATAAATTATGTTACCGGATTTGTTCCCCGGTTGAAATCATCTTTCCAATGATGTAAATTTAAAAGAATAATTAAATAAAGTTAAAGATCGGATTTGTTCCCCGGTCGAGATGATCACTCTGTGCATAAATAGAATTAACGGAAATTAATTGCATAAGTATTGTCTTATATGAGTTTGATATGTTTTGTACGAAAACAAATGCCTATTTGCCATGATTGATTTATGAAAACATTCACTTATATTGTTTGATAAGAAACATGATAACTGATAAGAATCTGATTAGAGATAGTTTCCTACAGTTCGAAAATTGTGTAAAAGCATTTAATTTACCTAATATTGTTAAAATTAGATACCATTTTTCTAAGCCGAGACATATGAAAAGACAAAAAAAAAAGTATCAATTATAAAATCAAAAACATTTCATTAAAATCTAATAAACCTTATAAATAATGATAGTTTTGTATAAGAAATTTAAAAGTGTTTTAAATAGTGAAATAAATAGAGAAAATGTAAATTAAACTATTGTATTAGTTAACTTATGTATAATTTCAAGTGGAAAACATTGTTTTAACTTTCTGTGTTAAATATTTAAGAAATTTCGACGTGGAACTTGTGAGTAAAATAGGCATATATAATATCATTTAATAAATAAAAGGTTTTTCGTGATATGAAAATGTAATCTATATCGTAGTGTAGATATTGTTTTGTGCTATCTATATAGATAAATTGTATTGATGTAAGACTTATGCGAATAAAGAGATTAAGTAAAACGTGAGAGAGTAATAGAACAAATTCATGTAATTAAGTTGCGCAAGCACGCGAATGGCGCGGCTCACTTTCGCGTATAGCTCTGGGGTAGCTTAGTGAACGGGTTTTATTGCAATTCGTTCGGGGAAAAAGTTCGGAAATCATACCAGCAGTCAATAAGAAGAAGAAAGAAAAAGTGTAGGGAAGTGATAGGGAAAAGTGATTACTCTCTCACGGAATGGTTTGAAGATAATTGCTGTTTCATTCCCAAGAAATTCATCCCTCAAGTTATACAGTCCACATCGAAGAATTAAGGCGTCGGGACCGGGACGACTTCGGAAGACCCGTAATCCCCGTCTGAACCTACTTGCTGAAAAGGAAGAAGTTATCGCCCTTGTGTGTTACTCCGTTGCGGAGATCACATACGTTGTTCCCGAACCCAACGTAGGCGTTATAGGAGGCCGGATCGAGAGAAGCCTCGATTCCTCCCTTCTGTTTCTTAGTTGAACGTTTGAATAAGCTGGGTTCCTTTTCAACAAGAGAGAACTGCGATTATCAGTGGGCTTTTAAAGTCCTATGTAATTTATCCATGGTTAGAATATTTTCACATTCACATTTCAATCAGTATTTTCTGTATTTTAATTGCAGACTATAATTAGGGTTGACCGTGTTCTGGCGGTGTAAGAATAGCTACTCATCTCGTGGGTGTCCCAAGAAGCGACAGAGAAATCAACCAGAAGGGCGACACCGTCTTATAAAAAATTGCGGTTATTCATGGTATTTTCTATAGTTTGAAGTATGGTCAGATATTGTGTTATTTAAAAATGAAACATTATTTTTTTTCATAAATCTTTATAATAAACCTTCTGGATACAATTATAATATAACAAAAGTAAAAGTACCATAAATAAAAAATTGGATAGTTTTAACATCTAAAAACATCTTGTTTTCTTTTTAAATTGTATGCCAAATTTTCAAGACAAGTTAATTTTATAGGTACAAAATTACTTATTTGATTTTAGTTTATGCCTTACCTTTTAGTCCACATTACTTGGTATACGAAATCTTTTAATATATACATGTCTTTAATCAAAGACAGGTACAGGTACATCTTTCAAGTATGGTGAAGTTAGCCAAGAGGGCGATCCTAATAATATATAATTTAATTACGGCAAAAGGACTGGTAGTTAGTTTAATCATTCATATACTCTGTGGTTAAATCCTCGTTCTAATAAGAAAATCCCTGAGCTAAAAACGATAACTAAGACAGTAACTCACATGACCATTTACTTTCAGCATTGGATAATGATAATGGCAAAAGCTGTTACTCTAATGTTTACATCTCTGAAACTTCCGCTAGGAGTAATTACTGTTTGTGTCCATTCATTTCTCCTACCTTAATTAGTATGTGAATACGACACAACTACACACATAAATGTAAGTGTAAGATATACATATGTACACACATATATAATTTTATATTGTCTGTGATACCTACGTTATCTGTATTACATACATACGTCAAAATCATATTGAAAATTCACTTGAATTATGGAGTGTATAAGCAAGGAGTACCAACTTCCATAGTAGAATAGTTGAAAAAGTGGCCATCTGTAAGCAGTAAATAGCAGCTCAAAAACTCTCCACAACAGCGCTGGAGCAGCTACTGGGATGGAATGAACTTAGCAGTTGTCGCCGGTTTAAGTGTGCTGCTAAACTGCTCAGTAGCTCTAAAATCTAAAATAATTTTATTTACTAAATATAACCTCGAAAAAGTCGTCTATCACTCTAATATTTTTCGGTGCGTTCTTTAAAGTATACCCCGTAGCTATAGTGGCGCCACCCTTATTTAACGGTTTTCTATGGACACTTTTTAATACACAGTCTGTACTCCTTACTTCTACACTCCATAATTTGAATGTCAAAGTATTAAAATGAATAGAAGTTTTAATTTATTATGGTTGCGGAGAATGCAATTTGTTGTTTGATCGACGAAAAATTAGCAAAAAAGTATCTTGTCACTTTTTTAAATTACCATCAATGTTATAAAACATTTTACACTATATCATGGTAAATAAATGGTCATCGATAAACTACAATTTCTCCCGCTATAAAAATAGAGTAGCTAGTCAAGAGAAGTTAATGATTTAAACAAGAAACCATGCAAAATAAATAAACAATTTAAAAAAAACATGCGTATTCCAGGTTGTATGCAATATGTTTGATAAATAACAAATTTTGTTAACATTTATTACAACTACATTCGATATATCGTTTATTTGTCATCGTTCGAATAAGAATTCCTCATCCGGTTATATTCTTTGAGCAGTGGATGTTTGTCTAGATACTCCACCAGTGCCCTGAACCTCGGTCCAGAAAGATCCCTGTGCCTGGTGAGCCTGACTTCTAGGGAGTGGACTCGGAACGCCAATTCAGCACTGAATAAAATAGTTCATTAGTATAATAATAGCATCAGAAATATAGACATACTAAGTTGAACGAAATGTTCTTGTATAAGTATAATCCCGGGACCTCGAGACCACTAGACTACTAGACCAAAGAAGTAGTCATCCCGAGTCGGGTCAAAATCGGTTTTTGGGTTTTTCTGACCAGAAATTCTCAGTTCCAACCTCGCACCTCGGAAAGCACATAAAGCCGTTGGTCCTGTACCTGAAATCTCTCAAGTCGTGTCGGTTTAACGTTACATCGGAATGTAGCGAGGGAACAGAGAGATCAGGCCATCATGACCGAAATTCGGTCTGGATGTCATTATTATTATTATATTATGTAAATTACAGTGTATACATGTCCCACTGCTGGGCATAAGCCTCCTCTCATGTCTGAAACGGTTATGAAGCAATGAGTCCGCTACGTTACTCCAGTGCGTGTTTGCTCGTGTATGCTCCCTAGAAGGATTCTCAGTTAAAAAGGCGTTCTATAATCAAGCAAAAGCCAATGTAAACGTCGCTGATGGAAAATTCGAAGATAACTCTTGTCAGTCTAAAGTATTCATGGCACGTTTAAGCAAATTTAGCGAGTTCAATTCTCGCAAGCATCAATGAACTTTTTAATTATTATCAATATCCGGCTCCCATGAACTTGTTAACAGCAAATTCAAGTGTTGACATACCAGGTGCGTGACAGTGAAGGAAAATATCATGAAGAAATCTATATGTCTTAGAAATTTAAACAAATTAGAAGTCATAACATTAAGCTGGAAACGAGTATTGTGGTAGGGCGGAGCGCATGAACTCTTCCTCGCCCTCAAACCATCTCAGAGATGAGGTCCCTGTGCTTATCAGTGAGACCTTTGTAGGCTGCATTTACTTTTTTAAAGAGAGTACTTTTAAATTTTATAAATATACTTAAGCAGGAATTTGATAGAAAACTTAAATTAATTTTATTAATAGGTACTGTATCTGCATTAAGCAACATACTAGAATGTCTTTTTACATTATGAAAAGGGTTCCTTTTACCTTGTAGCAAAATAGGCTGTTTCTTTTTGAGGGGTCAGGATGAATTGATTCGCCAGGTACCACAGACGTTTAGCCTTATATTCAGCGTTGAGCTGAAAATAAAATTAAAAATGTTATTTTTAGAGCCGTGATAGCTCAAAAACTAAGCGCTCGCTGCATGTTTCACAGTACGCGAGCAACCCGGGATCGATCCCGCCGGCACCAAAGAAATTGTTAATTGCAATTTTAAGTACTGATTTACACTGAAAACATTGTAAGGACATGTGAGAGTCTGAGAGAGAAATTTAAAAAAAAACGAAGACATATGAAGTTCGGTTACACGCATTGCGGCAGCGCGGCAGATATTTCCTTGTCCTAAATAGGACGTTTAGAAGTTGGAACTTTAACTTGTAAGAACCAAGTTGAAATGACAGGATTAAATTATTTGCCGGATCTATTTAAATGTTTGAATGAGACTACTACGGAATTTTTTTTGACTTCCCGCATGTAAATCAATGATTTTCCAAAAATTTTAAAGTTATTGTTTTCACTCCGGTTTCTGAAAATTGAGCTATCATGACGCTTCGATGTTTCGATGTCCTAGGAAGCTATTCTGGATAATTTTTTGCGATGATGTGTGTGTGTGTGTGTCTGAGGCATGCACGCACTCAGACGAATTATAAAATTAGTTGTATTCAAACGCTTATAAAAAGGCAATAATAAGAAACAGCGGTGGCTGCTCGGCAAGCGTTTTTTATTATTTGAAGTTGTTTTCAGAAACATGGCGTTAAAACCGTAGAATACTATAATACATACATAATAGAACGGGAGAGTGGGCGGAGCCTGTGTAGCCACTAAAAAGTTACTAACATGTCAATTCACACATACAACTGTCCACACAAGATGTGTTTTGACGTAACAATCGTTTCCCAATTTCGATGCAAATTATTTATAAAATATCAAATTGCACACTATTTACATATAAATATGTATTAAAATTTAAACGATTTTTGAATGATGATTTTAAACACTAATCAAAAGTCTAAAATGTGTATATTTACTCAGTCTGTTAAAACAGCAAATCGGGTTTGTAGTAGTTATAATACCTCGTAATTGCTTGTATGTGTGCTCCCGGCGACGCCGAATCTCGTACAAAATAAGTTTGACAGCCATTCTATTGTGTATTATAGTATTTTATGTTTAAAACTGAAATAAGAGAGAAAGGAAACTGAAACAAGAGCCTGTTTCAGTTTCCTTTTGTCGCCTCTTACAACATCTATGGGATGATTTATGGTAGAGGGTATCCTTACGCCGGCAGTACACAACAAAAATAACCCTGTGCATATCGTAGTACATGCATTAAAAATGGCATACGTAACAAAATGAGATACCCGTACCTTGTCGTATCTTTCTTGAATAAGATTTTGTCTCGCCAGTTGCTTTGATTTGAAGTCGTTTATGCACTGTTCTCTAACGAGGCTTGCTTCTTTGTGCGTTAACGGCGTTCCCGAACCGTGTCCCGAACCGAACATACGTGCCAAGTACGGTGCCAACGGGTCGATCTCTGCTTCTTTCTCGCGCTCTGTTATTTCAACTTTTTGGGTTTCCTGGAAAATAAATTTTACTTAAAGATTTTGTTGTGTTCAATAGATTGTTTAGTTTTTAAGTTTTGATATGATGATTACAACTATACCTAGTGTGAAACGGACGGTAATTTAAGAATTTATCGGATATCGGTAAAGTAAAAATTCTAGGAGGTAAACTTGTTTTACAAGTGCGTGTTGCCAGTGATGACCTATGGATCTGAGACGTGGTCCTTCACTGCTGGCCGTATGAGGAAGCGAGTCGCTCAGCGAGCTATGGAGAGGGCTATGCTCTGAGTTCCTCTGCGTGATAAACTTAGGAATGAGGATATCTAGATTAGTAAACTGAAGTGGCAATGGACCGGCCACATTGCTCGACGAACCGATAACCGATGGGGAAAAAAGATTATCGAGTAGCAGCCTCGTACCGGCAGGTGAAGTGGTCCCCCCACTAGATGGAGTGAAGATCTGGTAAGACATGCAGGAAGTCGATGGATGCAGGTGGCTCAGGGCCGTGCTTTGTGGCATTCTTTGGGGGAGGCATATGTTCAGCAGTGGATTTGTGAGAAGAGCTGTAATGATGATGATGATGACTCTTTTCTGCCCAGGAGCCCTTCTGGGTGTACCAAGCAACCCCTTACCTCTTTCTACCAAGCAGCATTGCAGTGCGTGGAGTACTGCGTTTTAGTCTAAAAGGTAAGAGCCAGAATAATTACAAGCTGTAAGATATTCCATCTTAAGTCGATACTCAGACTCATTCTTGAGTTTAAACTCAAGCCCCACAATGTCTAAATTCGTGTCTAAACCATATTAATTACATTACACGGATTTTGATATTGTCTCTGGTTACCAGCCTAACGGTACGTTTACACCAAAACCGATTTTGTCGGCCGTTGGCGGACTAACTACTCGGACAAGTAACTCGGACGTGGTGCTTTCACTGCAACAGTGTACCACTTGTGCCGACATTGGACGTCGCCGGTATTCTTTTCCATTTTCAATATCCATAGTCGTTTAGGTAGATAACAACACTGACAGAAACAACAAAATAAAGACAAAATGATTAAATTAAACTATAAATACACTACAAATTAAACTATAAATACACACTCAATTTGCATTGTAGACGCCGGCAGTCGTACTAACAAGTTTGGATTCGACAGTTGATTGGCCGTTTTCGTGCGTTATCGGACCATAACGGTCGTGTTTGTGTAAGCGCTCTCTTTGTTTTACAAGTGTTTGATTCGATCGTCCGAGTTCGGCCGTCATCGCCCGAGCAAACTTCGGCCGATGACGGATTAGGTGTATGCGAATCGTTAGTTCCCAAAGGTAGCAATGAATTTTTGATCTTTTTTCTTTTGAAGTTTGGCTGCAGATGTCCGTGGACTTACTACCTATCAGGTGGAGTGTAAGTTCATTTGTCTCTATAATTTTCTAAAAAATATTGCTTTTTTTAAATAAATAAAAATGAGCCGACGTTAGGAAATTCTAATGTGTCGTGAAGGTGTATTGTTATATGAAATGCACAAGTTCCAAGTTTGGAAAAACAGGCTAGGTACGGAAAAATTATTTATAGGTCTTGTCAATATTTGTATCGTGCGGAAATGCAACTCACAGTCCGCAGCTTCGCAGCCAAAGGCTTAGCCGCTGCACTTCAAAACCTTTTTAAATAAACTTTTTTATAGAATAAGGGTAACAACACACAGTGCACACAGTTACTGATATCTGGACGGTGTGGCCCATAAACACCTCCATTTATCTTTGATCAAGAAACAGATGCAATGTCACCCCTGAGGATGAAGATGAAATTCCTCGTATCCATTAAAAAGGTTCTCAGGGTTCTACACTCTTTATACGAAACACAGCAGTATTAAGCTGCTTATTTTTTTATTTATTCTTATAAAAAGTGTACATTATTTATATTTTAAATTTTGCCAAACTGTAAGCCAGTTTGTCGGTAACGCAACAGTTTATCGTTTCACACTCCTTATCCTTAATAATAATATCTGGTACGTATAACTACTTATATTAACACAAAAGTAAAGTAAAAGTAAAGTTACAGCCTATATACGTCCTACTGCTGGGCACAGGCCTCCCCTCATTTCTGAGAGGGTTATATATAATTAACACAAAATAATTAAAGAAACATTCACCACTATGGAAACAACGACAGATAATGTTTCCTCAAGATAGATTTGAGCTGCGACTTAGTTATGCTTTCGTTATATACAACATGTAACATAATTAACGCACTTTGAGAAAGTAGTTTGTTCAGAATCGTTTACTGAATCGATTCCTATCATTTTTAATATAGGTTATTTTTTATCCCAAAAATAATTAAAAGTACGTAAATTACAGTCACACTAAATCTGTATGGTCAAAACAAACTGAAATGGACCGTAACTTAAGGCAATAAGACTTTTTAGAGTGCAGTTTTATTTGTATTATTACTAATTCTGTCATTCAATAAAAATTAAGAAAAATGAACTTTATTTCAAGCATGTTAAAGTCTTTGCGTTCGTGGATTTGTACTGAGACCACAACATTCTTCCGGAATTAGTATAACTAATTTGATAAATAATCAGTGCATAAAAATGTAATACATACACTGAATTAACTAAAAATTCAGTGTATGTATTATGATTATAACATAATATACTAATTGGGGTGTCTGAGAGTGTGCGTTAATTACGTTACATATTGTATATCCGCTACCTCATTACACAAAGTTAGAGTTATTTTACTATGTGTTACCATGCTGTTCTAATATGATAATGGATTTTACTTTCATGTCTATGGGAATATCTATTTATTTCAAATATATCTCACCTGCTCCTTCCAGCCCTTTTTAGCTTCTTCGTTCCTCTCAGTATCAAAAAGTGCGACGTAGAGCTGAGGCTCGGTTAGTTCTTTGTGCCTTTGCTGTAAATATTCAGTGACTTCGGATTCCCTATCCCTTATATGCTTGTTCGTACAATCCTCCCATTCCATGTTCTCACAGAGTGTGTAATAGATGTCTAGCGGCCGGGGTAGTTTGGCGCATGGGTCGGCCTATAAATCGAAATTTCAAAATATTTTTTAATTTACTCCAGTTAAAGGGCTGCCATACGTTTCGGGATACCGGGACATGTCCTGATTTGAAGAGTTATGTACATGTGGCCTGGGCAGAAAGATAATTGTTTCGATTTTTTAGTTTAGAATAGTTTAGTTACATTAACCTATATGCGATTAGCGGGCTATATGCTTGTAATATATATTAAGCTAGCGATCCGTCCCGACATCCCTGGTAGTTTTTGAACAATTTTGTCTGCCTAACACTGATTTTGTATTACTGATCAAAATGTTAATTTTATTCCTAGACAAAAGCTGCTGCAATTCTGCCTATACCCTAAACGCAAATGAGGTGCAAGCCTAGGGTCCTTGGCTTGCCGAACCTCTTAAAATGTTGAAAGATATTTTTAAACAATAAAAACATTTTTATTAATTTAGTCTCCATATTTGAGTGGCCTAGGGCGACTCTGAACTGTTGTATTAATAATATTAAAAATGTCTTACAATGTAACCTGAAGTCTTGTCGGGATAGAATAGAATCTTGCCACCGGTTTCAGCCAAATTTGGCTTAATAAAGCTCCTCGTATCGTTCGTGATGAAGTTGTAGTCATAGTGATATAGAAGGTCTATCGTGTTGTCTTGCATGTGAAAGATCCTCTTCCAAACGTCTTCTTTCGCTGGAATATCCGAGTTCCTGCCATACGTCTCTGTTACATCTTTAATTTGACGTTTAGGCTTTGCTTTAGTTGCCCCTGTATATAATATCTGCCTTGATTGGAGTCTGTAATTAATAACAACAATGTATATAATTTTCTTGGGTCTGTAATATGTTTTACCAAAAGGTAAGGCTCTTTGCCTAGTAGCCCGTTGTGGTATTATTATCATTTAATCTATTTTTATTGTAAAGGATAAATACGGGCTAAGAAGTATTTCTTTAATAAAATTAAGTTGACACACTAGCACATGGTAGAGCTAAAGTTAAGTTGATTGTGTGACCCATATACACCCACGCCTATTCTCGATTTGCGGGTAACAAATCAGGAGATGGGCAGCACTGCTGCCCATCTCCAGCAGCGTCTTCTTAAAAGTCACCAATATACGTCTTACTCCTGAGCACAGGCCTGCACTCATTTCTGAGAGGGTTCTTTAGGGCAAGGAATTGTCCGCCGCGCTGCCCCAATGCGTGTTGTTGAACTTCACATGTCTTCGAAATTTTTTTCTTATTTCTCAGACATCCAGATTTCCTTGCGATATTTTCCTAGATGACCACCGAGCACGTGGTAAATCAGCACTTAAAATTGCAATTACCTATACCTAGACATATATTCAGTTACGGACTTTAATAGGTCTATATAAGTTTATATATATATATATATATATATATATATATATATATATATATATATATATATATTCTTCATTAACATGAAATGCCTCGTCCTAGTTGGTAGGACTTCATTTTTGCCTCGAAGTCTGTGTGGTTACGTACCCTCCTCTTAGCTATTTACACTGCTAAATAGCAGTACTTTCACTGTGGTCCTGTTTTAAGGTTATAAAGAGCCAGTGTGAATACAGGTTGTGGGAAATTCCACCTTAGCCTACAGAGTACAGAGGTAACTACACATTTGCAGCCTTATTTGTTTAAAATTGTCTGCAAAATTAAATGGCTGAAAAATTAAAAAGGTTCCACGTATCTTGGTCTCGTCACTCAACATACAAAATATAACAGCATTACTTCGCTGTTTCACGCAGGTCCTTTGTCGGTCGAGCTGATACATTCGTGCTGCAGCTATAATGCGAAACGTTTCTACTTGATATGTACCATTATAGGACCAAGGTTGTACGTTTTGCTAAGAATAATCTTTGGTCCTATAATGCTACTTAGGACTATAGAAATATTTTTTTAATACCGCATTTACACATGTATGCTCGTGATTTGTCTCGCCATTTGACGAATTGTTTGGTGAGATATTCGTGTAGCGTTAGGCGACACGAGTGGCCGTTTACACATATGCGTCTATTCATTTTTATTTGACGAAATGGACGACGTCGTCATTATTGTGGTTTTTGCATTGCATTAGCAAAGTCAGTATAACTATAGTCCGTTCGCGTTAAGAAAATAGTGAGTCATCATTGTCCGCCGGCCTGGCTACGCCCCCCAGCCAATTAAAATGCAAGAAATTAGAAAGTCGAGTTCACAGTGACCAGTTGAAGTCAGGCCTTCGAACAAAACGGTTGTGTATTTTGCGTGTTACTCGTTCAACATTAAATTTGAAAATGAATACCTCACCTATTCGAAAGAATAAAAGTGGATCAATAATCCATAGCGGAGAGAGACGCGTAATTTACAATGTTTATAAGTACTTTAAACTGTGTGATTTAAATGCGACTGTGGAGAGCACAGTAATAAAAACAGCAAGTGCATGTGGTGTGTCCGAAAATACTGTTTATAAAATTATTAAAGAACAAAAGGATACTAACACATTAAAATCACCCGTGAAAAAAAGAGCTCGACTATCGACGGTCGATAAATTAGATGAACTAGACAAATGTGCAATAAGGAGAAAAGTTCGACAAACCTCGTATACATATTCGCGCTCGTGCCTCAACTCGTCGCCCGCCTCATCAATTGCGCGAATGTGTAAATGCGGCTTAAGATAGTTGTGAAAATGGGGGAGAACATTTTCGTCTCTTACGACTCAAGTGGCAGAAACTAGTCTTGCAATTATAACGTTTGTTGGGAAATTCGATTTATTGCGTAGAAATATCAAATGTAGATTCCTTTACTTTACTCACTATATGGGCTATGTCGATTATTCTGGTTAAACTATGAATATCTTCATTACGAAAATTAGGCTTCCTCATACGCCAAAAAAATGTGAAGTGATGAAAGATGTGTCGCATTTCCAGAATATTGCCCAGTCGAGTTGGATCTGAAGAAGTTAGACTAACCTAGTCCGACAACTTACCCTAGGTAAACATATTCGTTGACAAATTTTATCGTAGTGTTCTTAACTAATAGGGCATTTTATAAAATTAATGTGACAATATTAAAAATAAAAAAACTTAAATTATCCTTTAAACAATCTCACCTGTCACTTCTATCAGTGTAGTACTCATCAAACGTCAGAGCTGTACACACAAGCTTCGTGAGGTGGTCGAGTCGCGGGTAGTAGTTAAAATGTAGAGTACGGACTCCCTCCACTGACGTCATCGGTGCATCCATAGAATACTCGTGCTCTAAGGGAGAAGACAACCGCTACTTATGTATAATTTTAATTCCGCCACTAGAGTTTGAACGTTTACTCGTACAAAGAACATGTTGTGATCTCGTTGTACGTGAGATGACTTGTGCTTAAACTAAGTTCCAGGGTCTGCAGGTTGTTTCTCAGCAGATACCAACTTCCCGGGGGAGCTGTTCTATAATTTTGGTATACAATAATAATAATGTCCTTCAGACTGAATTTCTGTTATATCGGCCAGTCTTAACGGATATTAACCAAGTGCAAACATAAGTACATTTTTATTCCCTCACTCTCATTATCAGATTGGACAGAAACACGATACAACCTGAGGGAGATTCGGTGCAGTATGAATGGGTAGGTTCAACCTTGGGAGGACCACGCTCTCATAGAATACTAGCGTAAAATAGCAGCTTAAATGCTGCTGTGTTTCATATGATAGATGTAAAAATCGGAGATACTTTTTACTTGTAAGGCGGGAATACTATCTTAGTCCTTAGGAGCTTAAGGGCTACAACGCTTCTACCCTTTGATTCTCAATCGAGGATAGTTATAGAATCTATGGGCCACAGCACGCACATAGCATCAGATATTGACTGCGAGCCCGTTTGACACCCTTATTCTATAAAAATATTAACTATATGCATACTAACTATATACTTAGTGTAGAACTAAATATTTATCAGAAGCTTTGGGAAAATTGTGCTTACTTAACAAATGATCATTTCTACCAATTGCGAAAGTTTCCCGTACATCTTTCTTCACATGATCAATTCGCGCGGTCTCCATCTTGTCCACTCTGTTCTTGTACCATTCGTAACTGCAATAATTTTTAAAAGGTAATCAGTAGATTAATATTTTTACTTGAGGAGTCGATTATTCTAATTTATTCATAAAATATAAAAAGAAAAAAAAAACCACTCTTAATATACTTTTTTATGTGGTAGAGCCACGCTGCAGCTATATTATAGTTGTAGTACGTATGGGTCGGCTCAACCGGGGCAGGACCACGCTCTCACAGAATAGCAGTGTAAACTAGCAGCGTAATGTTGCTGTGTTTCGTATGCATTCCATTTTAGTCCTCAAGGGTGACAACGAATTTGCATTTTGATTCCTAATTGAGGGTAAATGTTGATGTCTATGGGTCACAGCATCCATTTACCGTCAAGTGGACTGTGTGCTTGTTTGTCACCCAATGCTATAAAATATATATGATTTTTACTACGATTTGGGATGCCCACGTCCAGTAATGTACTTTTATAGGCTGATAATGATGAACAAAATCACCATGCAGTATCGACTTATACCTTTATTAAACGGCTCCGTTACAAAGTGGAAAAAACAATGAGTTGCAGGGCTGCAACCGCGGTAAGAATCACGCACGGAACAAGTATTTGTTAGGTAAGTGAGGTTAATATGGCCATCTTAAACTTTGCCGCCCTATGAAACCAAAACTACGAGGATAACAGAGACAAAACACAAAGTCGTATCTTATAACTAACATATTAAGAAAAACAACAAGCTCGCCATACTAAAATCGACTAAAATATTTACTATAATGTCAACTGTCAAAATGGCATTGATAAAGCAGCGCCCTTTTGACCCATTGTTATTTGATTGACCGAAGAAGAGCTATCGTATCACAAAGCCATCTATGTAAACAAGGCTGTAGTGTTGAGTTATAAGAAAGTAACTAAATTAACCGGATGTTCATATCACCCTCACGTACTGTCATCTACATCATTATCATTACAGCCTTTCACAATTCAACTGCTGAACATAGGCCTCCCCCAAGTAATGCCACAAAGCACAGTCCTGAGCTACCTGCATCCATCGACTTCCTGCATGTCTTACCAGGTCGTCACTCCATCGAGTGTGCGGTCACCCTACTCTACGCCTTCCGGTACGAGGCTGCCACTCGAGAACCTTTTTTTCCGTTTCCGTTTCCTCATCGGTTGTCGGTTCTTCGAGCTATATGGCCGGCCCATTACCACAATCGGTTGGTTGGTTGATTGGTTCGATTGTTATAGAGTTGGCTATGTCGGTCACTCTGGTTCTACTGCGGATATCCTCATTTCTAAGTTTATCACGCAGAGAAACCCCGAGCATAGCCCTCTCCATAGCTCGCTGAGCTCACGTACTATATGACCTACAAATAATAGACCTGGGTTTGGATGTTTGTCCTTGTGTGAAATTCAGTACGTAAACTTCACGTGTACACTCTACGAGGTAGGAGAAAGTTCTAGTAATGACGTAACGTTTTTAAAATAAGAATGAGATGAGAATACTTATTAGCAGGCGGGCTTTGAGCTCGTTTATTGTAACATTAGGAAAAAAATTAAGTGTCCCTCACCAGTAAAACCAAACTTAGTGCTACCATTGAAAAATATAACCGTTGCTAGTGATCGAGTCTTACGTGAGCAAGGGTACGCTTAAGGCGTAGTCTTCAAATATCTTAATTCTTTTCACAATTCCGTCGTTTTGGGAATACGGTGAGAATTTTTCTAATAACACCTTTTTGTAGTGGATCACTTTGTGGCTGCCCGGGTAGCGTTGCTCGAATTCTGAAAGGGAATACGAGTAATATTACTTTACAAACATAGATATGTACAATATAGGAAAGGAAAAAGTACGAAAATATTTCATATATTCATCCCGTTTACGCTAGAATTAAAATCCTCAGACCTGCTACTAGGAGATGCGTTACAGGTGCGAGACGTCTGGTACTGGATTCACTAATCAGCCACATTAATGCAAATACTCCCTACATTGGTCTAGAAAAGTTGACCTATCAGCACGGGACTATAATTAACGTTGTTGAAGAGAGAACATAAGAACCTCTAACTTCTCTCTGTTTTGTTTTTTGTTTTTATAAAATAAGGGTGGCAAACGAGCACACAGTCCACCTGATGGTAAGTGGTTGCTGGGTCCATAGATGTCTATACGTCTATCTTCAATTACGAATCAAAATGCAGATGTGTTGTCAACCCGTGAGGACTATGATAGAATGCCACGTTTCCAGTAAAATGGGTCTCCGGTTCTCTATACTCACCAAACGAAACACAGCAGCGTTAAGCTGCTATTTCACGCCGGTATTCTGTGCGAGCGTGGTCCTTCCCCGGTCGAGCCGACCCATTCGTGCTACAACTATACTGCTAATAAAGCTGCAGCATGGCTGTACCACGTACACTCCTCTTACCGTACTCTTACTTCCTTATTCGTACTCCGTTATTCTTTTTAGAAGGCCAGTAATACACTTAAAATTTCTCTGATTTTGCGTATATTATTTGGCGACGGGGGGTATACACCATGCTCATCTCACGGTGTATATAATATGCACCATCAGATGAGCATGGTTGTTTATCCCTCTCTTCTTATAAAAATGGAAGATCCTTCTCCTCTCTATTCCTATTATCTCTCTATCATCTATATATCTTTCAAAGTTAAAGTATTCAGCATTTGTTCACTTTATTATTGAGGTGACACTTAAACATAACGATTTTTACGTGAGAAAAGTTTCCAGTGTAGGTATTGTATTATTATGTTTGAAAATTTTTTGGGATGACGCTAGCACTTCACGTAAGATTTAACACTCCTTGTTAAAAATCGTCATTTAATAAGCTTTGCCAAAAACCATGTTTTCCTTAATCTTTAGGAGATAGAAAAAAATATTTTAGGGACACGTGAAGTTCGCTTAGTTTTAGTTTCGACTTACCTTTACACAAATCCTTGCAGTAACGTGCTTGATCCATGAATAAAATACTAAAGTAGCAAAAATAAACAACCAGTATTCATATTATTGAGTATTAGGTAACATTCCACAGTTAGAAACACTACATACTTTCCATTTTGGTTTTGGGAGTATCTCTACTCTTCAAATCCTTCTACCCTAAGGATTATGATGACCCAATGCATTGCCCTTAGACATCTACATCTATCCTTCCGTTGTCACCCGTGAGGACTAAGATGGAATGCCTCGTTTCCAGTAAAAAGGGCCTCCGGTTCTCTACACTCACCATACAAAACACAGCAGCACTAAGCTACTATTTCACGCTGGTATTCTGTGAGAGTGTGGTCCTTCCCCGGTCAAGCCGACCCATTCGTGCTACAACTATACTACTAATATAACTGCAGCATGGCTCTACCACGTATAAAATAAATAAATCTAAATCCCTCTTATAAATTTGAGGAGGCCAGTGCCCTGATGTGGACGGACTGTAACTGTAACTTAAATTATTTTTTTTTAATTTTCAGTCATAACTCATGTAGGGACCTTTGTGATATTTTCCTTTATGGGGTCACACACTAAATCAGCATTTAAAATTGCAATTATGCATACATTTAATGCCTGTGCCACGTGTCTTACAAAAATTTGAAGCCAAGGGCTCAACTCTGGATATTTTTTAAAGAATTACCGTCAGCACTGATATCAAGTTTCTCGACCCAACTCGCGGGAACGTCCAGGTGTTTCTCCGTTAACACAGCAGATGCTTTGTCCGTGTAATCAACACCGACGAGCTGGCGTCTGTGAAAGGGTTCACCGGCCAGGAGATGTTCCCAGCAGCTTAGATCGCTGAGTTCGTAGTTGAGAGAGCCCAGGCCGTTCGAACAAGACTGTAGGTTTACCTAAATTCAAATACAGTGTATTATAGTACAGGTATATGGAATCTAGTATTGAGTTTTGAATTATTCTGTAAGTAAGGGTGACTAGCGAACACACATAGAATCATCATAGAACTGTAAGTAAGGGTGACTAGCGAACACACATAGAATCATCATAGAACTGTAAGTAAGGGTGACTAGCGAACACACATAGAATCATCATAGAACTGTAAGTAAGGGTGACTAGCGACACAAGAATCACATAACATCATAGAACTGTAAGCAAGGGTGACTAGCAAACATACATGGAATCATCATAGAACTGTAAGTAAGGGTGACTAGCGAACACACATAGAATCATCATAGAACTGTAAGTAACGGTGACTAGCGAACACACATAGAATCATCATAGAACTGTAAGTAAGGGTGACTAGCGAACACACATAGAATCATCATAGAACTGTAAGCAAGGGTGACTAGCAAACATACATGGAATCATCATAGAACTGTAAGTAAGGGTGACTAGCGAACACACATAGAATCATCATAGAACTGTAAGTAACGGTGACTAGCGAACACACATAGAATCATCATAGAACTGTAAGTAAGGGTGACTAGCGAACACACATAGAATCATCATAGAACTGTAAGTAAGGGTGACTAGCGAACACACATAGAATCATCATAGAACTGTAAGTAAGGGTGACTAGCGAACACACATAGAATCGTCATAGAACTGTAAGTATGGGTGACTAGCGAACACATATAGAATCATCATAGAACTGTAAGTAAGGGTGACTAGCAAACACAGATAGAATCATCATAGAACTGTAAGTAAGGGTGACTAGCGAACACACATAGAATCATCATAGAACTGTAAGTAAGGGTGACTAGCGAACACACATAGAATCGTCATAGAACTGTAAGTATGGGTGACTAGCGAACACATATAGAATCATCATAGAACTGTAAGTAAGGGTGACTAGCGAACACACATAGAATCATCATAGAACCGTAAGTAAGGGTGACTAGCGAACACACATAGAATCATCATAGAACTGTAAGTAAGGGTGACTAGCGAACACACATAGAATCGTCATAGAACTGTAAGTATGGGTGACTAGCGAACACATATAGAATCATCATAGAACTATAAGTAAGAGTGACTAGCGAACACACATAGAATCATCATAGAACTGTAAGTAAGGGTGACTAGCGAACACACATAGAATCATCATAGAACTGTAAGTAAGGGTGACTAGCGAACACACATAGAATCGTCATAGAACTGTAAGTATGGGTGACTAGCGAACACACTTAGAATCGTCATAGAACTATAAGTAAGGGTGACTAGCGAACACACATAGAATCATCATAGAACTGTAAGTAAGGGTGACTAGCGAACACACATAGAATCATCATAGAACTGTAAGTATGGGTGACTAGCGAACACACATAGAATCATCATAGAACTGTAAGTAAGGGTGACTAGCGAACACACATAGAATCACCATAGAACTGTAAGTAAGGGTGACTAGCGAACACACATAGAATCATCATAGAACTGTAAGTAAGGGTGACTAGCGAACACACATAGAATCATCATAGAACTATTAATTGAAACACGATACCTAGGAGTCTATTCCTATTCATTTTCATAAAGAATATTGTGTTATAAAAAACATTGTATCATGACAAAATTATTATCTGCGGAGTTCCTCTCGTCGTTTCTTCTCTGTGCAAAGGAATCTCATTTAAAAACACTAGTATAGAGGTGTGTGTTAGGATCGTGCAAAATGGAAGTTCGTAGTCTCTGCCTACCCCTCTTGGTGACAGGCGTGAGTGTTTATGATTATGATTAGTTTATTGAAAAAACATGTTGACGTTTGACGAACAACGAAGATTTAAAAAATACAAAAATAAAGAGTTCTGTTAATTTCATTTATTCATAAACTAGCTGTTCTCTGCGAATTCATCCGCGTGGAATTTCCTACGATTGTATTTCATGGGTTTAAATTTTTTGTGTAAAACCCTAATTATTAAAAAAAGTAGCCTAAGTTACTCGCTACAACATCAATTATCTGCTAGTGAATTTCCGTCAAAATCGGTCGAGCCACTTCGGAGATTAGCCGGAACAAACAGACAGACAAACAGACGGACGGACACACAGACAAAAAATTAAATACTTGTTTTTTTGTTATAAGTACCGTATAATATACATTTTATAAAAAGCTTTTCATATGCATTTAGTAAAAAGCTGTTATTTTGACATTATAAACAGACACTTCAATTTTATTTATTTAAAAATAAATTTAAATAAGTGGTCAACGGTAGCGGCGTAAACATATTCTGTCAAACTGATATTTTTTAATCAGAATTGACATACGAACTTATAGCCTATCTGATGGAAAGTGGTTACTGAAATCCATGGACACCTACAGATAACTTAAAAAAAGGAAGGCTATAGATGCGTTCTCAGATCTATGGGCTGAAATAGCAGCTCTGAATAGTAGTAGTGAATAACTCACAACCTGTAATACTACTAGTACTAGTACTAGTAGTAGTAGTAGTAGTGTACTGACTCTATAAAATATGGCATTGGTGTTTGAATTAGATAGGAGGGTGAACCTATTCAGACAGACTTCTAGGCAGAAAACGTGTCTTATACTTAAGAGGATTTAAAATGGAAAATGCAAGAAAGATTGATCAGTGCCAAAAGTTTGGCATTTCTGTCGCCAATCCGTCTACAAAGCGTGGCGATTTAGGTGAATAATAATTAAAAATTCTGGCAACAATGGGGAAGATCTATGGCTAAAAGTGTTCTTACAAAATAATTTAAAATTAAAACATTTGGATAGCGTCTGCGGTGATGAGAATTTGGGTATTTCTTATATTGACGCGAACACTATACATTTAAATAATACAAATTTTTACGGATTTTATAGCGTATATTAACTTTTTTTTATATTATAGTCATAGTTGACAGTTGACATCCGGACGATGAACATCACAGTCCCCCCCCCCCCCCCCCCGTGAACATGGGTGCTGCTGTGCTCGAAATGTCGAGAATATAAAAAAGTTAATATACACGATAAAATCCGTAAAAATGAGTATTATTGAAATGTATAGTGTTCGCGTCAATATAAGAAACCAAAAATTAGTATTATGTAAATTTGGGTATATATTCTATTATCAGATTATCTTACGTAGTAATTCTCGTTATTATAAACAGAATCCAGTTGTTGATACTGTTCAGCGTCCACAAAGTAGCGTTTGCCTTCGCTGGGCTCTATGAAAAAAGGTTCCTCGACTCCCTTGAAGCCTGGTAGGACTAAAGCCCAGGCATGCGTACGCCATCCGTCTATTTTGTCCGGTGGTGGTCTTTCTAGTTCCTAGAAATAGAAAGTTGGCTAACATAAAACATAAATTGGCATGCTGACCAAACACACACATATTTATTACTTCTACTATACTCGTACGAAAAGAATGCGAAAATCCACCAATAAAAGAATTCTTCAATCCATAGTGCGCGCGGCTGCCCACTTCTGCACTGCTATCATTCCAAGCATCTTTTCTTAATGATTTTTCGTGATAATCACTACATTTACTGTTCCATAGAAATTGTTTAGTACCATATAATCTAATTAAAATACGACACTTGCCTATCTATGTCAAATCCATGGTTTTTCCGCGCGCGCCAACTAAAGTACGTAAACGACCGTCCCAAATGCGCGAACACTACTCGCTGAGATTCCTTTGCCGCGCCGTCAAAAGCCGACACGGATTGGTTCATCGCGCGGCACGTTCGAGCGCGCCAATATTCGAATTGCCTCGCAAGGCAACGCAGTCACAGAGGGTATGTTCCGAAATACAATCCAGTACACTGGCAAATGCAAATGACGTCATCAATTGACACTATATTGTCCTGGCGTGCCGCCGCCATATTGCGTCCGATATCCGGCCACAATAAAACAATTTTTAATTGTGTGTGCGCTGAATGAAGCATGCCAGAATTTGTTTTTATTTATTCAAATACAAAAAAATTATAGAATAATTGCTGGTATCTCCATTAGAAAGATATAATGATTTTTGAAGCATAAAATGACAAAATAATCGCCAACACTTTTCCAATACGGCGTAAATATATGACGTCATATACTGTCCTATGTTTTGGAACGAATCAACAGTATAGCGTCGATTCATGAAGTCATTTGCATTGAACAGTACACTGGGTTCTATTTTGAAACATACCCAGAATAAATAATAGTTGACAGTATCCACTGTGCGCGGCTGCCGCGCGGGCCAATGTCACATGGTTTGCCGCGCGAAGTCGATACGCAGCTTTAGAATATTATCTACAGAAAACAACTGAAGTATTAATAAAAGCGATAATAAATGATATTTAAAAAATAAGAAATTAGCGCGCAAATAATTTTTTTGATTGCAGTCTTGGCGGTCTGACAGGCTGATTATAAGGTCTCGGGCAGCGCATTTCGAATGTATTCGCTATCGTATTTTTTTTGTTGTATTTATAATAAGGGGAGTGGTCAGAGGTATTGTTTGGATAAATTCTAGTTGCTAAATTCTACCATTTCATATTGCGACAAAATTCTCAATATCATCCACACCATCTGGATGCTTGGCGGTCCACCATTTATTAATAAGGAGTTTTCTTCTCGCACAACTTCACCAGAAATTTTACCGGATTGATACGACTTACAGACTTTTAAGAAAGACTTTAAAGAGCATTAAAATATACTATTTCTTGTTATAGTTGGTCATGGACGGCTTCATGCTCGTTTGCATCTCTTCTATAAAAACAAACCACATCATCCCGTATCGTATCGTAAGTGGTGATAGCGAGAAATTAAATTAAAGCAGATGATGGGTATCAGCACCATTCTGATAACTCAAAAACGAGGAGCGATAATTGTAAGAATAATGTGCTTGCCAGTAAGCTTGTCAATAGAGGCAGATATGGAACATATCCCCTATATGTGATAACCTAATAGGGGAGGTATATTTCAACAGTGGATTTTTGATGGAAAATGTTGAATAGCTTTACCGCGATCCTCTCTTGTCGTGCTTGTTCGATCTTGTCCAGTTCAGCTTGCTTCTTGGCTGCTTCTTTCTTTTCCATTTCGCGACAGTAGTCAGATGTGAAGTCAGGCAATGGCACCAAACGATAACGGGGCTCTTCATCTAGTAGCAAAGGTTCTTCAATTATCTGTAATTATTGAGTTAAGACAAAAATATAGAGAAATATATTTTCTTAAAGCTCTGGTAACTAACGGGCTGAATGCTCGATATAAATGTTACATTTTCAACCAGGTTTCGATCGCCGGCACCAATGAAATTATAAATTTTAATTTTAAGTGCCAATTTATTACGCGTTCGTCGATGGAGGAAAACATTGAGGCGAAATCTACATGTCTGAGAAATTAAAAAAATATTTTTAACAAATGTGAAGTCCGTCAACACGTATTGGGGAATCCCTGCGGACACTTCCTTGCCCTTAAACCTTGGAAATGAGAAAAGGCCTGTGCCCAGCAACGGGACGTATATATGCTGAAATTATTATTTTACTTTAAATATATCTTGTACTAGCTTGCCAGGCAGACGTTGTTCTGCCCTTTTAGAGTATCCTTTGTCATGTCCTATTAAAAATCCCTAAATTCGCATTCGCAAAAAACTATCCTATCTCTCAAGTTGGACCAAACGGCACACGGTGTGCAAGTAGTTTAGGAGTCCATTGCGGACAAATACCGTGACACGTAATTTATATATACACTAGCCATCAAAAAAATCGGCCCACCTGCGTTTTTGCCGCAAATCACGTTTTTCTAAAGCAGAACCAATCAAAACGTTTAAGTACTGAAACGTTTTATTTAACTTGTTTATTTACACCATTTAATCACAGTTACAACATCAAAATGATTTTTTGAAAGTAATTTTCATTTAAAAACCAAAATCTTTAATTTTTCACGATTATTTATATTAATTTTCAATACGCTCTAGTTTTTATGTATTGAATTTTATGTACACAATTGTTGCAATTTAATATTGCGTATTCCCTCCTCTTACTCGAATGACAGCCTGCATTCGCCGTTTTAATGGCCTTATCAAGATTTGGATGGTCTCTTGAGGGATTCGGTTCCATTCTTCCCTAATGGCGGTTTCAAGGTCTCCTAATGTTGTAGGGACTGGATTACGGGCTCTAACCTTTTGTTTTAGGGTGTCCCACATGTGCTCTATAGGGTTGAGATCAGGGATTCGTGCTGGCCATGACATAACCCGAATGCCGACCTCTTCAAGGTAATCGGTTGTGATGCGCGCTACGTGTGGTCGTGCATTATCATGCATTAATTCAAAGGTCTCTCCAATACAGCCGGCGTATGGCACCACATGGTCTTCTAAGATCTCTGTGATGTAGCGTGCTACAGTTAAAGCACCTCTTCGTATGAAAACCAGCTCAGTGCGTCCAGTCAAAGATATCCCAGCCCAAAAACATTACAGAGCCTCCACCATAACTGACAATTTCTCTTATGCAACACTGGGTATAGCGTTCACCTGGTCCTCGCATGACATTTCGGCGTCCGTCAGAATCGTATAAAGTTATTCGACTCTCATCACTAAAAAGAACTGACTCCCATTGGCCTATAGTCCAGTTGATGTGGTTACGCGCAAGTTGAAGTCTGGCTTGTCGATTTGCTGTGGTCAATTGTGGTCCTGTTGCTGGCTTGTGAGGTCTTAAATTCTGCTCACGAAGTCTCCTTCTCACAGTACTATCATTTATAGCTACACCTCGATCTTCACGTAAGCGTCGCTGGAGATCAACAACAGATAGGTGCCGATTTCGTAGAGCTGATACCACTGTCATCCCTTTGGGTTGTAACCCTATGTCTTCCAGATCCAGATCTTCTTCGATACTGCCCAGTCTCCAGAAACCTTTGGTAAACTTGTCGCACTGCAGAACGGCTCAGATTTAACCTCCTGGCCACGACACGTTGACTTAAGCCTTGTTGCAGCAAAGCCACAACTTGGGCCACCTCAGCATCAGTAGTGTCCATTATTTTTAGACAAAGTAATCAAAGCTACAGCCTCAGTAAATAAACTTAACGTTATTAACGAGAAATCCCTACAAAAGTCTGTGTCGGACTGAAATAACGGTTCGAATTTGTTCTGACGTAAAACAACGAAATCAGCACTCTCGTAATAAAATATACATAATAACTTAAATCAGAAGTTTAAAAACCGATGCCCTATCTGCGGCGATGCCCTAGGCCAGGGGTCGGCAACCTGCGGCTCGAGAGCCACATGCGGCTCTTTGGATGTGAAGCTGCGGCTCTTTAGTTCCTTACGCAAATATTATTTATTTTATAAAATAAAATATTTAAAATCGTTCTGAATCGATTAACGAGTAGGTATTAGGCACCATTTCTATCTCTCAGCCACTTGTACTCGCTTTTCACCGCACCCCTCCCCGGTGACACGCGTCGTCACTGTCGTAAGTCCGTCGAAAGCTCGGAAGTTCTTGAATGTATATATTTCTTTTTTTTTTCAAAAATATTTATTTATGCAAGTACTATTATGCTTGGCAAGAAAAAATTTTGTGGCTCTTTAAATACTTTGAAATTTTTTAAATTGTAATTTTGACTCTTCCGACTCAAAAGGTCCCTGCCGTAGGTGTCGTAAGTGGGGATAGAGGGAAACTGAAAGAGGATATAGGCAGCAGCACTGTTCTTTCGCCATCCCGCCTTGTCAGCGTGGCAACTATAGCAAAAGCCTACAAGACAATCTAAAGGGGAGGCCAATTAAGGCGCTACTCCTAGCGAACGACCTGCAGCATTCGGTTCTATACATTCCACGCGCTCTCTCTACAATAATATATCGCGTAAGAAATTCGCCCAAATTTTAAAATATTTTCTTTATAAAATCGAATATTTATCTTTTGAAAAAATTAAACAGATCAAAATGTTCATTAATAAATTGCCTATCCATTAGTGGCAATCGTAAAATAAAAAAGTTTGGAAAATCCAAAAGTGCACGCCTTATAATCTCATTTGATTATATAAAAGAAAAATATCTCTTTTTCTATATTTGCGACGAACGAAGAGATCCATGAGAATATTTTTTGTAGAAAAGTACCAGTTGTTTTTTACATTTTCATTAATTACAATTAAACGAGAACAAATTACTCAGTGATTTTTTAAAGGAACCTGTGCGTTGAGATTCTAAACCTAATAAAAAAAAGAATTATTTTGATACATTAATTCTAACGACTACGATTATACAGACTTCCGGGCACCCTCGATAATTTTTTTCAATCAGTTTGTTTTTACACTAAATACAAAAAATTACTTTTAAAAATAATAGAAACATGAAAACGAGTGATTTTTCTCGATATATGTGTATTTTTATTATTCTTAAAGTGCGGTAGTTAAAAAATGAAGACATTTTTAGCTCAGTAAATTACTGGATTTCCATTGTTAGCGTATTTTAATAATTTATATTGTTGTAACTAACATGGTGGGTAATTAATTATTTTCATCCTATAAAGTCTGCGGGTACATTAATGTAAAAGAACGTGGGGCCCAGAATGCTGCCCTGGCGTGCCCCAGGGCAGCATTCTGGGCCCCACGTTCTTTTTAATCTACATCAATGATCTGTGTAGAATTAAGCTAGATAATTGTCGGATCTTCACCTATGCTGACGACACGTCCTTAGTAGTTTGGGGTGTAGATTGGATTCGTGCCAAACATTATGCAGAAAAAGCTATAGTAGAAGTTATGCTTTGGTTATCATCAAATTTACGGACCCTCAATATCGCAAAGACACAACT